AGAGAGGGAGGAGGAGGAGGAAGAGAGAGGAAGAGGGAGGAGGAAGAGGAAGGAGGGGAGGAGGAGGAGGAGGAGAGAAGGGAAGAAAGGAGAGGAAGAGAGGAAGGAGGAGGAGGAAGAGAGAGGAAGAGGGAGGAGGAGGAGCAGGAGGAGGAGGAAGAAAGGGAAGAAAGGAGAGGAAGAGAGGAAGGAGGAGGAGGAAGAGAGAGGAAGAGGGAGGAGGAAGGAGGTGAGGAGGAGGAGCAGGAGGAGGAGGAAGAAAGGGAAGAAAGGAGAGGAAGAGAGGAAGGAGGAGGAGGAAGAGGGAGGAGGAAGAGGAAGGAGGTGAGGAGGAGGAGGAGGAGAGGAGGGAAGAAAGGAGAGGAAGAGAGGAAGGAGGAGGAGGAAGAGAGAGGAAGAGGGAGGAGGAAGGAGGTGAGGAGGAGGAGCAGGAGGAGGAGGAAGAAAGGGAAGAAAGGAGAGGAAGAGAGGAAGGAGGAGGAGGAAGAGGGAGGAGGAAGAGGAAGGAGGTGAGGAGGAGGAGGAGGAGAGGAGGGAAGAAAGGAGAGGAAGAGAGGAAGGAGGAAGTGAAGTGGGGAAAAAGAGAGGAGGGAAGAAGATAGAGAGGGAGAGAAGTAGGAGAAGGAAGAGAGAGGGAGGAAGAGGAGGAGGAGGAGGAGGGAAGAAGGGGAAGGAGGAGAATGAAGAGGCACGAGGAAGGTGAAGCAGGAAGAGGAGGAGGAGGGAGGGAGGGGGCAGAAGAGATCCAGGGGCTGCTCCCCCAAAAGAGGAAGGAAGGGGCTGCTCCAAGGACCCACCCGAGCAGCTGGGCTGAAGGAAGAGGGAGGCCAACGGAGGCAGCCCCCACTTTCCTGGCCGTCCCCCCCTTAACACCTTGGCTTCCTCTGCACCTCCACAGGGGGTCTCCGAATGAGCCCAAACGGACCTTAAGTGAGTCATGGGTTAAGGGAGTTTTGCCCCGTTTAACGACTTTTCTTGCCACCTCTCTTCACTGAATCGCTGCAGTTCATTTAGTAGCAGAACGAAGGGGATCCCTGTGCACTTGTTAGCCTGGCTGTCGCTGAGTGAATCCGACTTCCCCGTTCACTTGGCTGGTCAGGGGGTCGCAAAAGGGGATGGCGAGACCCCAGGGACGCTGCAACCGTCATAAATGCGAGTCAGCCGACGGATGTTGCAACGGACGCAAAACGGTCATGAGCCACTTTTTTTCAGTGCTCTTGTAACTTCAGTCACTAAACGAAATGTTGTAAGTCAGGGACTGCCCTGTTTTAGGACATCCGGTGGCGTTTTCTAGCTCAGAGGGTGAGAAATGCGGCGGCTGAGTCCCAGCAGTCTTGACTGACGGGGCTTGGAGCGTCCTGGGGACCCCCCTGCATTGCCCCCCCCCCCCCAAGAGCTCTGGCCAGATTCCGAGAGTAAGGAAAGCAGCTGGATCCACTCATGGTCCTCGGCTCCAGGAGGCAGCCAGTCCTTGACTTACAACCACCACGGAGCCCAAAATTTATGTTGCTAAGCGACACATTTCTTAAGTGAATTTTGGTCTGTTTTACGGCCTTTCTTGCCACGCCTGTTAAGTGAATCACTTTGGTAAGTGAATTATGTTGTTAAGTGAGTCACGCAGTTGTTGAATGGATCCGGCTTCCCCCGTGACTTTGCTTGCCAAAAAGGTTGCAAAAGGGGGGTCTTGCGACCCGGGGGACAACTGTGGCCGTCGTAAATATGAGTCAGTTTCTGAGCGTCTGAATTTTGCTCATGCGACGACCATGGGGATGCGGCAACGGTCGTAAGTGGGGAAAAGTGGTCATAAGTCCTGTTGTAGTTTGAACGGTCAGTGAACAAATTGCTGTAGGTCGCTTGATGGCTACACTTTTTGTCGTTGTGTGGCGAAAGCCCCCGTGCGTCCACACCCATAATGCAATGTGCATGTGACCCCCCCCCNATCCTCTTCCCAGCCGGCCAGGGAAAGGAGCCCCGCTCTGGCCAGCATCCCGGGGCTGCAGCGGCCGAGGCCCGGGGGGCTTTCCGGAGAGACCCCCGAGGGCCAGGAGGGGCTCCGTACCCAGCAGGCGCCCCTCACCCTCGATGCCCCCCCCAACTGGGTCGCCCCTTGCAGAGGGAAGCCCCTCCGTCCTCCTCTTAATCCGGGCGGGGGGAGCGAGGGAGCCCCCCGCCCGCTCGCCCCCCTCGCCTGCCCGGGCATGGAGCCCCCTCCCCACTTAAGAGCTCCCCGCCCCCGCCGCTGCGCGACCCCGGGACCCCCCTCCCTCCCCAGGGCTTCCTCGGTGGGGGGAAGGTGCAGCCGCGACCCCCTCCCCATTTGGGGACGCAGGAGGCGCTCTGCACGTGCTCTGCCTGCCTTACCCGCAACTTCGTGGGGAAGCCCCGTTCGGGAGGCTCCGCGGCGGGGTTGCTGCCGGCGGCCCCCATCTGGGCTGCGGCCGGTGGGCGCCCTCGGAGGAGCGGAGGCCCCGCGGTAATCCCGCTTACGTAAAGCCCCGCGCCGCTAATCCCCCGCCCGCAGCCCTTCGGCCACGCCCCTTATGCAAAGCCCAGGGGGCCGCCCCGCCCCGCCGCCCGGGAGGCCCCGCCCCTGCCTGGCAATTCAAGACGTTCCCGCGCTGGGAAAATCCGCCCAAGAGGCGTGGCCTTCCGGAGCTCGCACCGGATTGGCTATGCGCGGCCAAGCCGCACCCTCCTCTTCTGCATAACACGAGCGCTCCCGCCCCGCCCCTCAATCGATGCTCTGGCTGGCTTCCCTTCTTTCCCTCCAGTCGCTTGGACTACAATGGCTGTGGCTGTGGCCGATGGGACCTGCAGTGCAACATCTGGATGGCTTGGCTGGAGACTCCCGAAGGCACCTCTGGTGGGAAAGCTATAAGCCTCCTCTAGGCAGCCTCTGGGGCTCTTCATGCAAACAAACAGGAGAAAATCTGCTAAGAAAGGGGAATATTTTGCAGCTCAGGGTTGAAATGGAAGGAAGAGTCCCTGGTGGGGCTCTCTGGCAGACGTCTCGCGACCCAACTAGGGAACATCAGCAGTGCTAGAAGGGACGGGGTTGAGGAGGAGGAAGAGGAAGGAGGTGAGGAGGAGGAGGAGGAGAGGAGGGAAGAAAGGAGAGGAAGAGAGGAAGGAGGAGGAAGAAGAGAGAGGAGGAGGGAGGAGGAAGGAGGTGAGGAGGAGGAGCAGGAG